ACCCAATCCAATCCAATCCAACCCAATCCAATCCAATCCAATCAAATGAATCCAACCCAATCCAACCCAATCCAATCCAATCCAACCCAATCCAACCCAATCCAACCCAATCCAACCCAATCCAATCCAATCCAATCCAATCCATCAAATCAATCAATCAAATCAATCAAATCAATCCAACCCAATCCAATGCAATCCAATCAATCCAACCCAATCCAACCCAATCCAACCCAATCCAATGCAATCCAATCAATCTAACCCAATCCAACCCAATCCAATCCAATCCAACCCAAACCAATCCAACCAGATCAATCAATCCAAATCAATCAATGCAACCCAATCCAATCCAATCCAACATAATCCAACCGAACCCAACCCAATCCAATCCAACCCAATCCAACCCAATCCAACCCAAATCAATCAATCAATCAAATCAATCCAATCCAATTCAATTCAATCCAATTCAATCCAATCCAATCAGTAAAATCAATCCATCAAATCAATCCAACCCAATCCAACCCAATCCAACCCAATCCAATCCAATCCAATGCAATCCATCAAATCAATCCAATCCAATCCAATCCAATCCAATCAATCAATTCAATCAATCAAATCAATCCAATCCAATCCATCAAATCAATCCAACCCAATCCAACCCAATCCAACCCAATCCAACCCAATCCAACCCAATCCAACCCAATCCAACCCAATCCAATCCAATCCAATCCAGTCAATCAAATCAATCAATCAAATCAATCCAATCCAATCCATCAAATCAATCCAACCCAATCCGACCCAATCCAACCCAATCCAATGCAATCCAATCAATCTAACCCAATCCAACCCAATCCAATCCAATCCAACCCAAACCAATCCAACCAGATCAATCAATCCACATCAATCAATGCAACCCAATCCAATCCAATCCAACCCAATCCAACCCAACCCAACCCAATCCAATCCAACCCAATCCAACCCAATCCAACCCAAATCAATCAATCAACCAATCAAATCAATCCAATCCAACTCAATTCAATCCAGTTCAATCCAATCCAATCAGTCAAATCAATGCATCAAATCAATCCAACCCAATCCAACCCAATCCAACCCAATCCAATCCAATCCAATCCAATGCAATCAATCAAATCAATCAATCAAATCAATCCAATCCAATCCAATCCAACCCAATCCAATCCAACCCAATCCAATCCAATCCAATCCAACCCAATCCCAATGCAATCCAATCCAACCCAATCCAACCCAATCCAATGCAATCCAATCCAACCCAATCCAACCCAATCCAACCCAATCCAACCCAATCCAATCCAATCCAACCCAATCCAATCCAATCCAATCAAATGAATCCAACCCAATCCAACCCAATCCAATCCAATCCAACCCAATCCAACCCAATCCAACCCAATCCAACCCAATCCAATCCAATCCAATCCAATCCATCCAATCCATCAAATCAATCCAACCCAATCCAATCCAATCCAATGCAATCCAATCAATCCAACCCAATCCAACCCAATCCAACCCGATCCAACCCAAATCCAATCCAATCCAATCCAACCCAATCCAATCCAATCAATGAATCAATCAAATCAATCCAATCCAATCCATCAAATCAATCCAACCCAATCCAACCCAATCCAATGCAATCCAATCAATCTAACCCAATCCAACCCAATCCAACCCAATCCAACCCAATCCAATCCAATCCAACCCAATCCAATCCAATCCAATCAAATGAATCCAACCCACTCCAACCCAATCCAATCCAATCAATCTAACCCAATCCAACCCAATCCAACCCAATCCAACCCAATCCAACCCAATCCAATCCAATCCAACCCAATCCAATCCATCAAAGCAATCCAATCCAATCAATCAAATGAATCAATGAAATCAATGCAATCCAATCCAATCCAATCCAATCCAATCAATTAAATCAATCAATCAATCAAATCAATCCAATCAATCAAACCAATCCAATCAATCAAATGAATCAATGAAATCAATGCAATCCAATCCAATCCAATCCAATCCAATCAATTAAATCAATCAATCAATCAATCAAATCAATCCAACCCAATCCAATCCAATCCAATCAAATGAATCCAACCCAATCCAACCCAATCCAATCCAATCCAACCCAATCCAACCCAATCCAACCCAATCCAACCCAATCCAATCCAATCCAATCCAATCCAACCCAATCCAAATCAATCCAATCCAATCTAATCAATCAATCCAACCAAGAGTTGCCAGCCCAGGTCGACGAGATTTCCTGAGCCTGCTCCTTCTTCGAGAAATCTCCGCACCCGCTGAAAGGAGGCCAAGGGGACCGGACGATGGCTCTGCCTTGCCTGCCAAGCCGAACTGAGACTAAGGCTGAAGTGGACAAAGCTTGAAAAGTCTAAACAAGAGAGTGCAAAAGGGTTCACCAGCCCTAAGCCAAAGCCAGTTGCAGTTGTTAATGTTCGTTGCAGCACAAACAGAGGTGGAACTGCCGCTTGCGAAAAAAACGTCAACCGCAACATAGGTTTAAGGTTGGACCGGGTGGATTTATCGTTGTAGGCTTAGGTTGGGTTATGGCTTGGATGAGTCTTGGTTTAGGGTTTCGGGTGGGTTTAGAGTGGGTTCTGGTGAGTGGGTGTTATGATGTTATGACGGCTTAGGGTGGGTTTAGGGCTTGGCTTTTAGTTTGCTTGGGTTTGTTGCCTCGGAGCGCCACAGCTCAAGGAGCGGGCAAGCTACGTCAATGTAGCCCGATGATGCGAGGTTGGGAAACAAGTCGCCCAAGGTGAAATGGAACACCTGTCCAAGGTGAAAAAGGAGTGCACCAAGGCGTTCATTAAAAAGAATCCTTAAGGTTGTTTACAAAAGAAAACTCACAAGGATTGAAACAAAGGTGCCGAACTGGCAAATGTTTTACGGGCAGCCTGAATCGGCTTCAGTTAGAACTTTTGAGTATAACTTTTGAGTCGTCAACGCCAGTTGTCAACGACTGGTTCGGAGAGGAACATGCCGGCTCTTTTATTAACAAGTCAGTAAACAGACTCAGAGCAGCAGCTCCCTGAAGCTGCACAATGACGTACTGTAGCTGATGTAGCTGCACGACAGCTGTTGGGATGCGACGCGAGCCTCAGTCTGGGTTGACGTCCTTCAGGTACAAACAAAGAGCACAGGCCTGACTCATTCACTAGTTCACTTAAAGACTAATATGAGCTATGCAATGCGAATGATTGGTTGAGACTATCTGAAGGAGTCTTGGCTGATACTGTAGTCAGGCTGGGAACCTGGCTAGAGGGTGATGCGGTGGCAAGCCTACCCGGGTACCCAGCCGCACGGCACTGCTGTCCTGCTGGCGCTGTTCAATCTTTGAACCAGTTCTCCAAGGACAGTCATCTGAAAGACTTGGCACAGGTGAAACCAACGATGTGCAATCGTTCATATTTGAACGCTCAAGCCCCAAAGCGTTCTTCGGAACGTGCGTTGTCCAAACTTCACTTCATGGAACGTACCTTTGCGCATAAAGCAGGCCAAGCACGTCAAGCAGCAATCAAACATGTCATCACACAAATGGCCAGCGGCAATGAATGCAAGCAATGTATAGCAATGTGCTGACCTCATTTTAGCCAACCGGTTTGCAGCCTTCATCAGGGCAAGATGGCACAAGCATCCAGTATCAGGCCAGTAAAACCTGGAAACGCAGCTTGGCTAACTTGCCTGGCTAACACTGCCTACATGTTCATGCGGACAGCATTGGCTGATCACATGTACGTACGTCGAGCATGTGAAACCTGCAAACCAAAAATTGCAAGTGAATGCCGATCACCTTACTATTCCGAACCAGGTAGTTCCAAGGCCTAAACTTGGAAGCACAGCCCAGGGTCCAAACAGCAGGCCCTGAAGACACGAGTTGGTTGTGAGACAGCCAGGGCATTTGTACCACTTTCTAAGAAGAAGAGAAGGGCAAGAAGATTGCATCTGATCTCCGCACTATGCCATGACCGCTCTGCCAATCGCCAGGACCGTGTGCTGAAACCACCTCGTGGTCAGTCTGAGGTCGAGAAGTTGGCTCGGAGAATTAGAGCGGCTGTCCAATTAGAGCCGCTACACTCAGAACAACGCGCCCAAAGAACTCGCGTGGTGCTACGTTGCAAGAGACACGCTCAACCGGCAATGTGCCACATGCTTCTCGGCATCTGCAAAACGCTTGTGTCTACATTATTTGGCTGCTTGCCCCCTGTATGCACTTGTGAAAGGCTGCTAGGCGCCGAGCGCTCAACACTCAAAGCCGAGCGCTCAACACTCAAAGTATACTCGCCGCAAAGGCCTCAGGAAGCAAACAGTCTGAGCTGCTCTGCTGGGATGGGAGGCATGCCATTTGTAAGCATTATGCCAATGCTGGGGGATAATCTGAACGGGGTATGGCCTTGCTTGGTAGTTGAGACCCACAACGCCACAGACCACATTTGTAATCGAGACTAATCTTGACACTGCAGGAATCGTCATGTTGGTGCCTGCCTAAGGCTTCCGCCCTCCGGGAGATGGAACACCAACCAAGAGATACTACCTGTAACTGGGACTTTCCTAAAACAGGCCTTGTGCGTTGCTTTACAACCTTCTGGCAACGGCCAGGCCTACATCTCCGACAGGGACCTCTGTGCTTCCAGCCCTGCACTTAGACTGGGCCCGCACATCATTCCAGGATGGCCTGTCGCAGAAAGCTCCGGCGCGAGTGCGGCTGCTTCCACTGTGCGCTCAGTAAGTTGCATTTTTTGTCCGCAGATGTGGAAGGCGCAACGGACGCAAACTGAACTAAAACCACCATCGCAAACCATGGTTGCGCAACTGCCTCCTGGGCTTGCCTGAGCAATAATAAAGAGAGCTTGTGCAAAATGGTCATGTTCTTACAGGACAACGACTGCCGTCTTCAGTACCTCGGAACGGACAATCCCCAAAAAAGTCTTACATGCACGATTTCGCTTTCAGCTCAGCAACTCCAGGCATTGCTGCAGCTGGGCGAGCTGATGCTCCAAAAAGCCCAGCTCAACATGTGCGCACATGTACAAACGCCGGCGCCTCTCCCGGAGAAACTCGAGGCCCTCGAAGTGGAAAAAGGGGTCAAAAGGGCTGCAAAAGTCCAACATGTGCTGAAGTGGTTGGAATTCCTGGGCCAGCAGCCCTTGAAAGCTCGGAACATCTGCCGGCCGCTGGGCCAGGAGAGCCCACAGGCTCTCCTCAGCCTGAAGCACCTTCTGTGCCGTTTTGTCGTGCTTCATGCTGGTGCAGTGGACAAAGTACGCGTGTTTCTGGCGCGCATCCTGCGAAGCGAGAGACAGGTGCTTGCCGGGGCCTGGCACCATGGCCTAGATCTCAAGGGCGGGTCTTGGGTTGGTTTGGGCTCGGGAAAGAGCTGACGTTCAGTCTGCTGTTGGCTGGGTTTAGCGTGTGGCTGGGAATTTGCTTGGAACTGACTCGCACTAGGTTTGCGGCTGGTTTGGTGGCCTCAGGGTTGCTTTAAGGATGTGTTGCTTTTTTTGCTTGCGCTCTCCAGCTTTAAGGATGTTGTTAGCTTGGGTGGTCCGGGCAAGACCCGCCCAAATTGATATCTAAGCCATTCGCAAAACCACCCTAAACCAGCCCCGGTCCAAGCGAGGCCGGCGACGCCGGGGATGCGACCGACCAACCAACCAAGCAAGCAACCAGCCAGGGAACCAGCGAGGGAGTCAGACCTAGGCCAAAACCAGTTCTAGCATTTACAAAAGAACTCAGTGGTGCAACAAAAAAGACGAACACGAGCCGCGACTCACACAACAGGCAAGTCATAGTCCGGCGTCCGGGTCCTGGGGATGCTCCCACGCCCAAGCCGGCGCGAAGGAGCATTCCTCGTTCTGGCTGCTCTCTTTGATCATTGCTGAATGGTCTATGCATGCGTGCGCTGTGTCAAAGACATGTAAACTGAGAGCACAACTCTGCCTAAGACAGCCAAACCAAGAAGCGACTTGGAGATTCAACAGATTCAACAAGCCAGTGCCTCCGCAACCTGCTGGCAGCAGGGCAACATGCACCATCATGCTCGCATTGCAGTCAGAGGTTCGCCGCAAGCGGCAGCGGTTGCCTTTCAAGACGTCGTACATGTAGCAGATGTCTGCTGAGAGCACGAAGACGCATAGGGCAACCTGTGCAGAATTAGCACGCTGACATTCAAAGCCTTTCGTGGGCGAAACCTCCGGCGCTCAGCCCCAAGTCACAAGCCCCGCCTGCTGGGCCATGCGAAGCGGCAGCACAAGCCGCCCTCCGCCGGACTCCCATGCCCGCTCCAGCCGGCTGGACGTTGTGCTGTCCAACTCGCGGCAGCCGGAGCGATGCTGGCACTGCCACGCAACCATAGCGTATCAAACAGGAAGAGAGGAAAACAAATTAAAGGAGGCGGCCTTCCACAAATGGCTGCAATGAGTCAGGTCCATCAGTAGTCACCAAACATGGCTGGCCTGCAGGGGCTCTCTAAACACGGTTTTGCAAGATTTTGCAAGCCACGAAGTCATGGCAAAAGAGGAACTATGTGTCCGGCAATCAGAAGATTGCGTCGTTCAACATGCAGATGGCTATCGGGCCTTGCATGGACGCTGTGATGCAGATACAGCTACTGATGGCACTTCTTGCCAGCCACCTTGTGCTTGCCAGGTTCCCTTTATTCATTCGCTGATGTTTTACTCATCGTCTTGGTGCGTGCGTGCCAACAATGAATCAATTATGGCCATGCCGGTTGTTTGCTTCAACCAGCTAGCTTCCAGGAATCCTCTCGGAAAACATAGGGGTGTAGCCGCGCCTGCACCCCTCATGTCCGGAAGCATTCTGCCTCAGACTGGCCCCAGACTGGACAACATCCCAACTGAGCCTAACTGTCACTCTTACATTGGGTCAGATAGGGCCAGGAAATGCCCCCAAACAAGCAGGATTGAAAACAACGATTGCCGCCCAAAACGCTAGCTCCGATCTGTTGTATCAATCCCTTGTAAGTAACTGGTAAGGCTGAGTCTGGCACCCTGAACAGGCCATCGGGGCTCTGCGCTTCGTGATTTCCACAGCATGCAGGAAGTAGCTTACTTGCCGACAGGGCCCGGGGGCGGACGTTTAAGATTATCCCACTATAGGGCAAGCACGTTCGTCGTCGGGCTCTTTCCTTCCTGCAGTTTGAAGAGAGCTTGGCTTCATTCGGGCTTCCCTGTGCCAGTTAGTTGGTTGGCTAATCAGTTCCTAGTCTGCATAGCTGACGGACAAATACAAGCAACGCACATGGATTCGATAAGCCCAAGGCTGCAGCTGAGTCGGGTGACAAGCTGGCATCGAAACTGTTGGCGCTGCAAAGGTGGCTACAGGGCTGATATCCAAGCCATACTGTACTTGTTGAGTGACTGACTGGTCTGGCCTAGTCGGTGGTTTGATGCTGAATTACGAGCTAGTGACGGGCACAGCGAAGGTGACGTCAGCCTGAATTCTGACAACATGCAAGGGCTGATCCATCTCGAGGGGCAACTGATATTGTTCAAAGGTTCAAAACATGAGCCAAGTTGTGGGGGCTCTCACCTATGGCAGGATCCTTGCAGCCGAGAAGTCTCTGATGCTTGTGCTACAAGGTGAGCGTGCCGTCCCGAATGCAGAACGTGCCAGAAACCGGGTTTCATGCCCAAGCGGCCCCGAAGCCTAAGATCACTCAACTAAGAAATGATGATATGGCCTTCCGTCTTCAATGCTTTCATGTCTTCAAATTGGAACTAACTACTCTCTTTCAGGTGTTACTCTGGGGTTCAGTAGTGGATCTGAATCCTTGCTGGATTTGTTCCTGTTTGAGAAAGTGTGCTGGTCTAGTCAGTGGTCAGTCAGATTGACAGTCAGCCAGTCAACTGAGCTAGCTCATTCCATGGACGGGTCAACCAAGCTAACTAAGAAGGGGGACCTAATTGTCAACAACAATCAATGAATGCACCAATGAAGGTAACTGCCATCCCCCTGACTGAAACTCAGGCCCAAGCGAGAGCAGCCCGCCTGCTGCCAGAAGCGGCAGTTTCCTGTTTGCGCACGCGGGCCAGAGGTAAAAGAGCGTGACATCAAGGCTTCCTGGAGCTCATATTGAAGGGTTGAACCCGGCTTTTCAAGGAGGCCCCTTTCTGAAAAGAAGATCCCAGCACGTGCATGCTTGGAACAAAGGGAGTGCACAACGTGTACACCTAAAGCACCTCAGTTGAAGCAAAGCAGGCGTTCAACTTGTGCTCAACCTGGTAATGAGTGTGGTTTGTCATGCATCGAGTTCCCCAGCATCACAGTTTTGCTGCTGTATATAGCATGTTTACAACAGTGGCTTGACTCAGCAGGCTCCTCACCCGTGAAACTCTTGGATTCACGCAGTACTGACTCACAGCCAGCCGGCCCTGTGTCTGACGCTGAAGGCCAAATCCAAGAAGACCAAGTGACCTGACCTCGGTGCATTGATCAACGACAGGGTGACTGTGTGTGTGTGCGGTGATTGTATCATTCGGAGTTGCAGGAATGTTAAGTGCGCCATTTTGGAAATGCCCAAAACTTCCTCTGCAGGCCAGTGATGCTTGCGCTTTTCGACGCTCGCGCTGTGGATCGCTGTGGGCTGGCTGTGGCTTACAGGCAACGTTGTCGAAAGCAGGATTCAACCCAGCACAGCCATACGATTCCGATCAATCATCATGACAAAAAAGCCAAACGCTTGGCAACACTATTGCCCCATCCGAATTTCCCGCACTACAGCTCGTACGCTTTCGTACGTGGCTGGCAAGGGCTGTAGGTCCAGGATGAGTTCAATGACATCGTCCCATGCGGGTGGATAGGCACCCAGCTCGACGTCCTCGGCCGTAAGGTATCCTCCGCCTGCCAGCGTCTCATGCTGGGCAAGGCACGGAAACTCCAGGAGTTTCAAGCGGACCGAGTTGGACATCGCCAAGTCCTTATACATCTCCTCACGCGGAAGGTCTGCGAACTCTGCCGTGACCTCCGCCTCCTGCCGCCAGGGCTGGGCCATTGACATTCTTCAATGGTTGAAATGTTGGGCACGCCCTGAACGGTTGAAACAAACGTTCAAACGAGACGTGCTGCTGATGTGGTCTTAGAAGACAGCGAATATCTCTTGCATCCGGAAGAGAGCAAATGCTCTCCTGACATGGCCGGCGGCGCTAGCGTGCACATTGTAGCGGGACTCTTGCTTCAGCAACCCTTCGAGAATAGATGCCGGGCCTTTCGAACAAGCTCCAGCGGCTTAAAATTTAAGATGAGGTTTGAGCGCGGCCAGCTTGTTTTGACAAGCTGCCACAGGGCTTCGCCAGCGCCTTGGGCTATGTTGTTGGGCAGTTGTCAGGCCGTGAATTTGAGCCCCAAGCAATTTTACAATGGTGACGTTTGAACGTTTCCCGCTCTTGAAAGCAGGCGGGCTACTCAAGGGCCGTGTGCTTAGCAGAATGCAATGAGGAAGAAGAAGTCGTGACAAGGCTTCCAAAGGTGGACCTGAGGAAGGGACATTCGCACTGACCAGCCATTGCCACGTGAACAAATCTCTATCAGTGGAAACTGCTGGTGGGCATAGTTAGTCCAAGTAGTTTGCAGGCCGGCTGCCAGAACTGCAGTTATGTCCCAGAAGCTGCAAACATGTCCCTGTCCTCTTTCTATGCTTAAAAGCTTGACCTGCCCTTGGCCCCTCACTGCACGAGTTGTTTGGATGACTGGAACATTGAGAATGATGAAGCAGGTTTGAACGACGAGAAATGCTCAAACATGCCTGTGCGACCAGACACCTGAGGACCGGTCAAACAGGTGTAAGCAATAAACGCGCCTAGCCCGACCCTGCCTGGCGATGACTGTTGTCCTTCAGCCATTGCACATGTACCGCGTGAGAGGCCCGATAGTCGCTCTTGCCCTCGAGAATCAGAGGCAACGCGGCGAGGATGCCGTGGAGGGAGGTCTTGGCATAGTGCAATGGCCGCTCGGTGCCTTTAACCTTCATCAGGTCGACAAGAGTGCTGGGGTCAGCACCCTTCGGCATTTCACCCTCCACCTTCACCCAGCACCCGTCCACCTGCATTCGGGTCAAGAACCCACACAATTCACTAATCATTGGATTGCTGACATGCAGCGCCTACAAGTGGCCCGCCTGGACACGGAGCTCTTGGCAGTCCTCACCTTTGGTTGACCTTGCTTGCTCTTGGTACATCGAGTGCTCGTGGTCCAAGATGAAGCGCACGAGCTCCGACGCACAAAGGTGCGCCTCATGGTCCGCCACCTTGCTGCTCAATACCTCTGCTGCCGCCTGCGTGACCTCATGGATGGCAATATCCATAGCGACAAGGAATTGTAAAGATGGCAAAGGGGCACGTGCAAATGCTGCGGCCAGCAAACATATCGACAACGCTGCGTCACGCAACCTGTTCATTTGAAGGGGCATCCGCCATCATTTCACGCGTTTGGCTCTCGCCCCAAACTTTCAAGTAAAAATACAAGTAGCACTGCCAATCCTCTGACGATGCACTATAATCTAGCCAGATGTCAAAGTCTCAGAGTCTCTGACTGGCAAAAGCCAGGGCCCGGCATTGGCTCTATGTTTCAGCGTTTGCCCGGCAAAGTTCCAACCCCCCTCGTTGGGTTCAGGGTTGATTCGTGGGGGCACCACGGAACACGGGATACTCTCTCATCCAGCTCATCCAGGAGCCCGGCAGAGATGGGCTTGCTAGCCTTGCCAGGCGCGTCGAGCGTCGAGCGTATTTCTTGCCAATTTCTCCCAACACTCTTGGTAGCCCAGTGTTTCGCCGCTGACCTCAACCAGAAAGATGGCGCTGAAGCGGGGCTCTACGCCCGTTGCGCAAACCGTGTCAAACCGCGTGCTTGCTTCTAAGTAAACAATGATAGTTACATTATAGTTGTTTGCTTTGTTCCCCACATTCTTGTGTGGGGTTCTTATTTTTAGCGCTGCACCCGTCGCCTGGCACCACCCTCACTCTCACACTCGCTCACCCACCCACCCACCAACTCACTCACTCACTCACTCACTCACTTACTCACTCACTCACTTGCGATTGCGTGGCATGGGCAGCATTTGGTAACTGTCTAGAGGGACTGGATGTTGTCGAGCGCGCGGCTGAGGGCCCCGTTTTGCGTGGCAGGCGCAGCACTTTGGCAAATTTCTTGGCAGGCGCAGCATGTCCTTCATCTGGGTGTACGTTTGTGTGGCACGGGCAGCATTTTGGTAGCTGTCTAAAGGGACTGGATGTTGTCGGTGTTGTCGGTGTACGTTTGCGTGGCATGGGCAGCATTTTGTATCATTTGGTAGCTGTCTAGAGGGACTGGATGTTGTCGAGCCCGCGGGTGAGGGCCCCGTTTTGCGTGGCAGGCGCAGCACTTTGGAGATGGCTTGCAAATTGTGTGGCAGGCGCAGCATTTCCTGCATCTGGGTGTACGTTTGCACTCTCCACACTCACTCACACTCACTCACACTCACTCACTTTCAGAGTGTGCTTGCGTGGCAGCGGCAGCATTTGCTTGTCATCGCTGCCGTCAGCCCAGTGCGAGACGGCTGCATAGACCCAACACGAATGGCTCGTGAGAAAAGGAGTAGCGCTGCGACTGCCAGACATGTGCAACACCGAGAAAAGGTGACATGACAGCGAGAAAAGATGAAGCACCGCGCAGACTCGTTCACACTCACTTCTTCCATTGACTCGCGCTCACCGCATCTCGCGGGGTCCCGTGCATTCCGCTTCACGGGAACCTGTGTTTTCTAAGGCTACACATGTGGGGTTATCCGGCCCTTTGATTTGTAAAGGTGTGCGTGTGTGTATAACAGGCTCATGTGATTGAACATTTGGCAGGAGTGCTGCAACCCATTTTGCTCTTACACGTGTCCAACAGAAAACCGTGTGCAATTTGCAGGGTTTGTCCATTCGATCTGGTATATAACTTCGCGAGGCGCATGATTTTCCAGTTTGGTGTTCAACCTGAGGTTTACCCTGAAGTGCCCGCGCACCCAATCATCACTTGACGCATGCAGTTTGTCATCAAGAATAACGACGCTGACAGAAAGGCTTCCAAAAATGCGGCAAGGCAGGCACAAAGCAAGGCATCCTCTGACATCACGAACATGAAAAAGGCGGGCTGCTCTAGCACAAACTGGGTGCAAAGAAAGGCATCCAAGACCAGATCAAAAAAGCTCCGAGCAACACAAATATTTGCAAAAAGGACATAGGCGACTGGAAGAAAGTGGGCAATGTCGACAATGAGGCAATGAGGAGTATGACGGCACGCAGATCCACTACGAGGAGCAAAGAAACACGCAGACCCAGAACAAGAAGCAAAACGGCGCCAAGAAGTATGTGAACCGTGTGCGGAGAGGCAGCGGCAACGACAATAAAAGTGGCAAAACAAAGTGGCCTCTTTGTGGGAGCCCAAGTTTCCAAAAACAAATCTTGTTTGGGACAGAACGACCGTGCGATCCTGTCATGTATATGCGCCTTTCTCCCGATCACCCAAACGTTCAACCTCAGGAATCAAAACAGTGCAGTTTGGAACGTTGCCGAAACCAATCCGAGATTGTGCCATTTGAGGTTTTGAGGTGCGCGAGATACAGACCAAGGGCCCGGACGCGACGAAGCACCGTGAACGTCAAAAAGGTGCTGAATGCCTCATTGGCGTCCGCGCTGGCAAACAATTATATAGATCGGAGCACTTGGAAAAGAGGCACCTTAGCCCTCTATTGAAAGAGGGGGCAAAAGAAAAACACGGCTCCTGCGCCATCTACTGAAGACTTGAAAATGCAAGGGACCTCCGAAGCATCATACTCGCACACATAGTTCAAACAGACCCACTACAGTTTTCCTTGCCGCGTCTTCTGTGTTTTGTGTCACACAACGGCCCCCAACTGGAGTGAGCCATCTACTGAAGCATTGGAAACGAAGAGGACCTCGGAAGTTGCGCAATCTGAAAACAAATGCAAGGGAGCTCGGAAGTATAGAGCTAATACATAATTCAAATACTGCGCAACACTCAAACTGCCGTGTCTTTTTGTTTGTGTCACAAAACGGCCCCGCCAATTCAGCCGTTTCCGCCGGTTCCGCCCTTTCAGCCCTTTCAGCTGAAACGGCTGAATCGGCGGAAGCGGCTGAAACGGCTGAAAAGGCTGAAACGGCTGAAACGGCTGAAACGGCTGAATCTCGAATTGCGCCGTTTTACGTCCGCAATGAATACTAACACGCCAATTCCAAACCAACACTGAATCAATACTAAACAAATGCTAAATTGATTCCAAACTGATTCCAAACCAAGACTTAATCAGTACTAAACCAATTCACCTTCTATGAGTTACCTTCTTTGAGCGGACTACGGTACGATGCGTGTTCCAAGTGTGGGTACACTGCCCAGTACGTACGTTCTTTGTGTATGTTCTTTCCTGGCGTCAAATATTAAGCACATACTAAACCAAGAACATACTAATACTTAGCCCATACTTAACCAATGCTAAACCAATACTAAACCAATAGTTAGCCAATACTCAACAAGTACTAAGCCAATACTAAACCCATACTAAGCCAATACCAACCCCAAACCAAACCAACAATAAATCAATACTACCAGTAAAGCCGGCGAAGCTGGTGGGCGGAAGTTTCACTACTATAAAGCTATAGGTGATGGTTGCCTTTTGGCACAAAGTTGACCAGCTGTCAGCTGCGCGTGGTGCAAAAGACATCCAAAAGCGGTTTTTTGGTTTACCCTGTTACCTCTGAATATATCTATCTATTTAGATGTCCATCCCACTATCTGTCTATCTATCTCGCCCTGTCTGGTTTGAAACTTCCAGCTAGCTGTCCATCTGTCTATCTACGTATCTACCTATCTATCTACCCGTCTATTTGTCTATCTACTTACCTATCTCTCTATCTATCTATCTATCTATCTGTCTGTCTGTCTATCTAACTATCTATCTATCTATCTATCTGTCTATCTCTCTATCCATCTCTCTATCTACCTCTCTGTCTATCTCTCTGTCTATCACTCTATATATCTCTTTATCTATCTATTTTCTATCTATCTGTTTGTCTGTCTGTCTGTCTGTCTGTATGTATGTCTGTCTGTCTGTCTGTCTACCTAGCTATCTTTCTTTCTCTGTCTACCTATCTATCTGTCTGTCTGTCTATCTATCTATCTGTCTGTCTATCTATCTACCTGTCTATCTGTCTATCTGTCTGTCTATCTGGCTATCTCTCTATCTTTGAATCTCTCTGGCTATCTGTCTCTGTATCTATCTATTTATCTATCTCTCTATCTGTCTGTCTCTGTCTGTCTGGCTGGCCGTCTGTCTGTCTGACAAGCTATCGACCCATCTATCTGCCTATCTATCTACCTGTCTATCTCTCTAGCTATCCATCTCTCTCTCTCTCTCTATCTATCTATCTATCTATCTATCTGTATGTCTATCTATCTATCTATCTATCTATCTATCTATCTATCTATCTATCGGTGTGTCTGTCTATCTATCCATCCAGTTATCTATCTCTCTGGCTTGTTGACTCTGTATCTCTCTATCTATCTATCTATCTTTCTATCTTTCTATGTATCTACATGTCTATCTATCTATCTGTCTACCTATCTATCTATCTCTCTGTCTATCTCTCTATATATCTCTTTATCTATCTATCTATCTATCTATATATCTATCTATCTATCTATCTATCTATCTATCTATCTATTGATCTGTCTGTCTGTTTGTCTGTCTGTCTGACCACCTATCTATCCATTAATCTGTCTATCTATCTACCTATCTATCTATCTATCTATCTATCTATCTGTCTGTCTATCTCTCTAGCTATCCATCTAACTATCTAACTATCTATCTGTCTACCTATCTATCCTCCTATCTGTCTATGTATCTATTTTCCCGATTGCGTAGCAAAGGGTTTTCGTTGTAGAAGTGGGGGTCAGCATGTGCTCGCCAAAAGTGTCGCTGCGGTCGCAAGCGTTTGCAAGCGTTTGCAAGCGTTTGCAAGCGTCCGCAAACGTTTGCAAGCGTTTGCCAGCGTCCGCAAGCGTTCGCAAGCGGCTGCATGTGGAAAAAGTTGCCGTGCCGTTGGGGAAACTTTTGGAGGACGATATTCGATGAATCTGGAAGTGTTGAATTTGCTGCGTCTGTGTGGGAATCGTAGCTCTTAGCATGTTCGATGTCGTTTCGCTGCGCAGGCGCAGTGTTTTGTGAGGGTCCATGTTTGCGTTGTAAGTACAATGGGATTAGCGTTTCAGGGGCGCTCGTTTCGAAGTGTTTTGCTGGAATGCTCGTGAAAGCGAGTTATCCAGTGT